CGAGTGGCGAATTTTTGAACGCCCGGCTGTTGTTTCGATCAATTAAGGCTAACTTTCCTTAACTGTCTAAAAGTGTCAATTGCCTCTAAACCAACAGATACGGACCGATGGGGAAATTTGCAGTGGAAGAACTATAAGTTTGTCTATGAGTGCTGAAAATTTCGTCGGTTTGCCGTCATCAGGTCAAGGATGGGAAATTTTTGAATCCGCGGGTGCTGCTTAAATCAATTAAGGGTCACTTTCTTTAACAGCCTAAAAGACTCAGTGGCCACTAAACTGAGAGGGATGAGAAAATGCGGGTTTCTGCGCTTAAAAGCCCAAGGCCTTGCCTATGGGTGTGGAAAGTTTCGTCCTCCCCCCATCATCAGGCTAGGCATGGAAAATGGTTAAACTTCCCAATCACTTCTGTTAGGGTCTACTTGTGACTCTCTTCGTTGCCTACCCATAACCGAGAGAGATGGAGCGATCGGGATTCTGGCCCTGCAAAGAGCACCATTGTACCTACGTGCTGCAAAAGTTTCGACGGCCCGCCATCATCAGGCTGGGCGGGGCGAATTTTTGCAACTGGCCGCTTGCGGCTGAAAGTGCGCCAGTCGGTCAGTGGCAAAAACAGTCACTTGCCACTGAACCGAGCGAGATAGAGCGATGCGGATTGCAGCGTTGCAAAGAGACGGCAACAGCGCATCACCCGAGATTTCGAAAAAAGTTATTCCAGCTGTTCCAATTGTCGTTCTGGCCATTTGACTGTGCCAACAACAGTGACAGACAAAAGTTTCGTGCGCCCTCCAGGCGTCCCGACCGACGGACAATCTGGATGATCCAGCCTGGATTCGATACACAATGGGAAAACGGGACGCATTACGGGACAGTGAACGTTTATTGCCCTGGAAATGCGTCGAAATGTGCCAGAGTTTTCCCAACCGGGTGGGGGNCCCCCCCCCCCTTCGCAGGGAATTGGGGAATTTACGGGAACATCTGGCAAGATTGGTTCGGGAGGAAAACCGGTTGCGTGACAGGAACGTGTCCGGTTGACGGGCCATTTTCCGCGCCACCGAAATCAAATTGGCGAATTTTCACGCCCCCACCAGGGAAAACTTGGCTGAAAAAAATCCGGAAAATTCCAAAAAAAGTCTCCACTGTCCAGCCGGGAACCGTGCTGCCAATTGTCCACATTTTCGCGCAAAAAAACTGAAATCAACCCATTTGATGTGATGCCCTCCAGTGAGGGGCAGCGCATGCCCTCCATTGGGGGGCATCAGCGATCAGGCGAAAAATGGCGCATTTTGAGGTTAATTGAGCGCGATTCGATCGATGATTTCTTCGCGATTTTAATGGGAACGGATAGTGGAAGGGCGCATTTGACGCTAATTGGGTAAACAACGGCCAACTGATACTTGCCAGACAATGATTAAGGGTGATGGGGCCCAAGGAAAATTAGCGCAATTTTCAGCCTGTCTGACCCCCCCCGTTTTGCTCTGTCTAACACACACCCAACCCCAGCTTTCTATCTTCCTTCTTGGTCGATAGTGCGGAAAGTTGTTGTCTGAAACTGGGATTCGTGGCGCTGAAAAGTTGAAAATTYGCCCTTGYGGCCCTGRTGATGTCARAAGCTCGAAACTCTCAGCGCACATTCACAAAGTTCTGTAGTACGAATGTTAAATTACCCAATGTTCCATCTCGCTTTGTTTAATGGCAACTGACTSTTTTAGACAGAGAAGACAGTTAGAAGTAGACACTCTTAGCATCGACTGCGAAGTTTAAAAGTTCACTGGGTCTAGTCTGATGAGGCCACCAGGATGAAACTTTCCACATGCATACCCAATAATATTCTCTTCCCAATACAAAAAGCCTCATCGTTTCGTTTCTACCGGTTGAGTTGTAATCAAGTCTTGTATCCCCTCATGACTGTGTGAAGATTCCACTCACAGCATCGTTGATGACGTTTATTAATTTGTCACTTTCAGCCTGATGATGGTGGAACGACGAGACTTTCCACAGGCATAGACACAATCATGTTCTGTCGAATAGTGAAACATGCGAAGCTCTATCTCTCTCGGTTTAGTAGCAATTCACTCCTGTAGGCACTGACGACAGTTAGAAGTAGACACTCTTAGCATCGACTGCGAATTTTACAAATTCACGGGGTCTAGCTTGATGATGGCAGAAGGACGAAACTTTTYACATSGATACACAAAACTATTCCCTTCCCAATACAGAAAGTCTAATCGCTGTGTTTCTTCTGCTTGAGTGGCGATTAACTCTTGTATCTACTGATGACAGTTCGACGATTTTACTCTCAACATCGTTGATGAAGTTTAGAAATTTGTCACTCCCGCCTTGAGGATGGAAGAGGGACGAAACTTTCCCCACACATAGATACAACCATGTGCTGTCGAATAGTGAAACACGCGTAGCTCCATCTCTCTTGGCTTAGTAGCACTTCACTCCTGTAGGCGCAGAAGACCGTTAGAAGTAGACACTCCTGGCATCGACTGCGACGTTTAAAAATTCACTGGGTCTAGCCTGATGAGGGCCCAACGACGAAACTTTCCACACGTATACCCAAAACTACTCTCTTCACAATACAGAAAACCTCATCGGTTCATTTATACCGGTTGAGTTGGAATGAACTCTTGTATCCACTCATGACTGTTTGAAGATTTCACTCACAGCATCGTTGATGACGTTTATCAATTTGTCACTTTCAGCCTGATGATGGTGGAACGACGAGACTTTCCACAGGCATAATCACAATCATGTTCTGTCGAATAGTGAAACATACGTAGCAACATCTCGTCTGGTTTAGTAGCAATTTACTCCTGTAGGCACTGAAGACAGTTAGAAGTAGACACTCTTAGCATCGACTGCGAATTTTACAAACTCACGGGGTCTAGCCTGATGAGGGCACAAGGACGAAACTTTCCACACGTATATCCAAAACTACTCTCTTCACAATACAGAAAACCTTATCGCTTCATTTTTACTGGTTGAGTTGCAATAAACTCTTGTATCCACTCATGACTGTTTGAAGATTTCACTCACAGCATCGTTGATGACGTTTAGCAATTTGTCACTTCCACTCTGATGATGGTGCAACGACGAAACTTTCCACACGCATCGATACAACCATGATCTGTCCAACAGTGAAAGCTGCGTAGCTGCAGCTCTCTTGGTTTAGTAGCAATTGACTCCTGTAGGCACTGAAGACAGTTAGAAGTAGACACTCTTAGCATGGACTGCAAAGTTTAAAAATTCACCGGGTCCAGCCTGATGAGGGCACACGGACGAAACTTTCCACACGCATAGCAAAAACCCTGCCCTATCGAAAAGTAAACCCCGCCTTGCTCCATATTGCGCCACATAGAAGCAATCGACTCTTTTAGACACTAAACAGTTCGAGAAGTAGACACTGTCACCACCGATTGCAAGGTTTAAAAATTCGCCAGCCCCAGCCTGATGATGGCAGACCCCCGAAACTTTCAGCCCCTATACCCAAAGCCCTGCGCATTCGAGTGCCACCCGCCCCAACCTCTGCGCCCACTTGGTTCAGCACCAATTGGCATTTTCAGGCGCCCAAGGGCAGCCACCCTTAACTGCGGGCGCCAACTTCAAAAATTCGCCACGCCCAGCCTGATGACGCTATCAAACCGAAACTTTCGGCCCAGATAGCCGAAACCCTGCCCTGTCCAATGGAAAAACCCCCCGCCGGCCACTGGGCCGATGGCACGCGAAATCTGGCAAACCAGCACTGACCGCCCGATTTCCATAAGTGCGAGCTCGATTGCCTGCAAAGCGTCCATTTCCAGTCGAAACTGTTGAGGCGAAATAAATCGGGCGCGGGAGGAGGAAAAAGGGGCAATTTTTCCAATCGAGAGAAACAAGTGACGTGGCAGTGGTTTCCATTAAATCTATTGGAAAAACCCATTAAGGAAGGGCCGATTTCCGACTTCTCATCCGGTAATGGAAGAATGTTCCACCGATTTTATCGAGCTCAGCCACCCGCTGCTCGAGGCGCGGACTGATGATGGCGCAGCCACGAAACTTTCCGCTCCCCAAAGCCCCCCAAGAGACTGATGACGGCCGCCAACCGGGGCCGAAACGTGGCAATTGCGTGCGGGGAATGAGCCGATAAGGACGCAACAACAGCAACTCTGTGGGGAAACGGGCACTAAAAAAAAGGGGGGAGGGGAGGGGGGGGCGACACGTCCCCAAAACGTCCCGGGGGGGAAAACACATGCCATGTATAGTAAGTGCTGGCGCTTCTCCCCAGGGGGCGCAGGGAGAAACTTTCCAGAATCATCCAGGAGGAATCCAGTGGCCCAATTGTGTGTTTTTGGGACGCCATCTGTCCCGACCGGCGGACACTTTGTGTACAAACAGTCGTAAATCGCCGCAAAGAATCGCTTAATTAACGACGGCCGATTACGCAGCTGCCCAAGATTTAATGAGTCCTGGAATTGAGCCATTAAACGTCGCTGATTGGCTGTTTTCCACTATTTTAAGCTGTTTAGCCTCGGCCTAATCAAATAAATCAGTCCCTCGTCGGCCATTGAATCATCATCAACAATTTCCAGATGGTTTTCCTCTTTTATTCGCACGCCACTGCACAGCCCTGCTGAGCCAAGGGCTTCTGAGCACCTCAGCCCATTTCGCTGCATCACTGTCACAACGTGTCTATTCCTTTTGCCTGCATTAGTGTCTTTAGCCCTTCTGAGCACACATTCCCAATTGGCTCAGAACCGATTTTTTTCAACAACACTTTCCGTTGGCCCTTAAAATACCTTTTTGAGATCATTTAAGCTTTCCGCGTGCTCCAGATTCGGCGTAAACGGCCTCTGAGGCTTTCTGAGCCGCGCACCAATACATGTAAATTTCAGGTTCAGTCAGTCTCTGAACCGAGCGATGTGTGGACAAAAATTTGTCCAATCGAGAACAGCAGGGCTTCTCAGCAACTTGCCTCTGACATTTCCTCAACGATTCTTTGCTAAGCTAATTTCCAGTCAGGCTTTCAAGCGCAATTTCCCAGAAAACTCAGCTGAATTTGTGTAGTTTCATCAAAAGGTTTTCTGAGTATCAATTTCAACTGTTAACGGCCCTTTGGCCTTCTGAGCCAAGGGCTTCTGAGCACCCCAGCGCATATCGCTGCACCAGTGTCACAACGCGTCTATTCCTTTTGCCTGCATTAGTGTCTTTAGCCCTTCTGAGCACACATTCTCAATTGGCTCAGAACCTATTTTTGTCAAAAAAACTTTCCGTTTGCCTTTAAAATACCTTTTTGAGATCATTTCAGCTTTCTGCATGCGCCAGATTCGGCGTAAACGGCTTCTGAGGCTTTCTGAGCCGCACACCCATTCACGTAAATTTTCAATCAGACTCTGAACCGAGCGATATGTGGGCAAAAATTTGTCCAATCGAGTACCGCAGGGCTTCTGAGCAACTTGCCTCTGACATTTCCTCAACGATTCTTTGCTAAGCTAATTTCCAGTCAGGCTTTCAAGCGCAATTTCCCAGAAAACTCAACTGAATTTGTGTAGTTTTAGCGAAAGGCCTTCTGAGTATCAGTTTCAATTTTCAACGGCCCTTTGGCCTTCTGAGCCAAGGGCTTCTGAGCACCACAGCCCATATCGCTGCACCAGTGTCACAACGCGTCTATTCTGAGCACACATTCTCAATTGGCTCTGAACCGATTTTTGTCAAAAACACTTTCCGTTTGCCCTTAAAATCCTTTTTCAGACCATTTCAGCTTTCTGCATGCGCCAGATTCGGCGTAAACGGCTTCTGAGGCTTTCTGAGCCGCACATAATTACGTGTAACTGTTGCATTTCCCTAATGACTACTTCCTAAGTTAATTTTCTAGTCAAGCAGTCAAGCGCAATTTCCCCGAAAATCTCAACTGAATTTGCGTAGTCATCGCAAAAGGCCTTCTGAGCAGCAGTTTATTGATTACGATTTTGATTATCTTCCACTGGCTCTTGAATGATTGCGGCATTTTTGGTAAATTGTTACTTTTAACGGCTCTTCAGAGCTAAAGGTTGAGCTAATTTCTGAGCCACTTGCCCCTGACAGTGTGGTTTCGGCAAAAGATCCTCTGAGCATCAGACGCTGCTTTCATTATCTTCCACTTGCTCTTGAATAAATTGCGGCATTTTTCAACGACCCTCTGGCCTTCTGAGTCATTTGCTTCAAACGCTTCTGAGAGTTGGAAGGGCTTCTGAGCAACCAATGCAGTAGCGACAGTTGGGGAAAGGTTCCCAGAACGGCGCAAATGCCCCCCGTCCCGGATCGCGAAACGGACATTAAATTTGATGCCTATTGGTTCTTCTGAGCCAGGGGCCTTCTGAGTATTTTGCAGCCCACAGTGGGTCTCCGGAGGCCACTAACGCCTAGTGCCCCCAACAGGGTCCATTTGGGACTTATGATCCCTTCTGAGCCAAAGGCCTTCTGATCCGTTCTGAGTCAAAATGTTCAAATTTGCAGATGCAGCACACCGGCACACGGCCGCCCCACGATCGTGATGTGAATCGTCGCTGTCAAGATGAGCCCGAACTCATGGCCGCCCCTGGCCACTGGCTTCATTCGCGACCAGAACCAGACAGGGGGCGCTGCGCATGCGCCGCCCCTGTTCCTCAACCACGCCACTGCCGCCTCGCCGGGCGGCTTTTTCTCCAACTTTAAGTCGGGGCGACTGTTGCCGCCGCCCCCCAGCGCCGCCCCAGTCGACCGCCATGTCTGGTACCCGGTCCAGTTCCAGGCGAATTCCAGCTTTTATTTCGCCGCCCCGGACGAAATGGTGCTCTACTCGACCGCCAATTCGTCGGAGAACGGCACCTATGGGGCGGCGCATGCGTCCCCCCACGATTTCGACGCCACTGTCGCCCTCGTCACCATGGTGATCACCGCCATCTTGTTGGGCCTCATTATCCTGGCCACTGTCATTGGTGAGTGTCTGTCTGTGTCACTGTCACTGTCACCTGTCACTTATCGCTGACGACTTAGTTGACGGCGTCACAAGCGCTTGAAAGGGGGAAAGTCCGGGGAAAACTGCCCCCGCAAAACTCGCCTAGTCGAAGTTCAAAAAAGGGCCAAATGAGGGCGCTCTTAATACTTTGTACACACACACACGCACACTTAGGGGGTTGGAGGGGGGCGACTTGTTGCCGCCCTCCAACCCAACACCCCCCTTGACACTGGGGGGATTTAATATCGCGCCGCAGGAGTGACGTGACAAATGAAATGGAAAAGCAACAGTGATGCGACGTTGTCGGATTTGGCTGTCACCCCCTGAATCGACGCTGAACAATGTCATTTTCTTAAGCCTTTTGTTGCCGCTCAGCCGACAACGTGTCGTCACTAAGCCGATAAGCCTGCTGGGTGGGGGTGGGGCGGCTTAGGCGCCGCCCTTTTTCGCTCGGGGGACTGACAGACATTTTGCATTACAGTGATTTGGGGGTGCGACCTGGATAGGTCGCAACACTGGGGAAAATCTGCCCAATCTGGCAACGCCCGTTTGATTTCATCGGCACGTGAAAGACGCAATTTTCGGGCCCCGTTGCCCCGCACTCCGCGCAAAATCCCATTATAGTCAATGCTTTAATGGCCCAAAACACACTGTCCACATTGTGGCCAGTTGATTGGATTGGCCGGCTTGGGAAAAATGCCCGCGCACAGCCGGCAACAGTGTTGGCTCGTGTGCGCGCCCCATTTGGCGTGCCTGCGTTTACGCGTCGATCAAACGCCCAATTGGAGGAAAAAGCGTCAAAAGGTCCTAAACCGGCAACAGTGCAAGATTTTCCGCTTTTTTCAACCCGAAACAAAACCACACGCGAAAAATCGGCCCAAAGCCGGCCCTGTGGTTTACCGTCTCGGGCGCAGCGTCACTCATGCCCCGACTAGTGCGCTCTCTGTCCCACACACGAGAGGCGCCCATGCGCCTCTCTCTCTCATCGCATGCACTGGCCTTGATGTGACGCGGCACGCGCACAGGGCCGCACTGGAATTTCGGATTTCCATCGCAACTTTCTCGTAAACTTTCATTATTGCCAAATCGCGCAATTCATCCCCGACAAAGTTTCGGCTTAATATCCATCATCAATTCGCCTGCCAAAACACTGATGGCTTCCACGCGGCCTCTGAATCG